CTTATTGTCAACTGTTTATTGAAAAGGTGCTTAAGTTGGAATGTAGCTGTTTTCACGACATGTTAGTTAATAAAATTATTGTGCTAAATAAATGTAATTATTATTGAATAATGAATGAAATAAGAGAAAAAAGTATTCTGAAATTTGATGTTTCTTTGCATGTTTTGTAGCATTGTTTTTGGGTTTGCAAAGGGGGTCGCTAACCAGAAGCTAATGTTGTTTGGAGTGGGGATGCATGACATGGAAAAGTTTGGGAACCCCTAGTTTTGATCACTTCTTCTTTGTTCAATATCTTCACACAATAAGTCAGATGGAAGCAGCATGTAGAATGATGTGCTCTTAAATCTGATGGAGAATGAATGCAAAGAAGTTTATCAAGGTGAGATGTGTTTATTGTCTCCWCTCCTCCAGGCAGAGAAGTTATTTCTGGCAGTCAAATGGGTTTTCTATCAGCAGCAGTGAAGAGGCAGAAGACCTTCTTAAACAAAACCCGAGCCAAGAAATGGATCTTTTGAAGGTCTGGCTGTTTTCCCGAGTCGTGTAGAGGTGCTGATGGGCTGCTTAAAGCTCTTCCAATGTGATTCTCTGCTTCCTGTCACAGACCTGATCAGTCAAAAGTCCAGGACCAGGGGCTTTTTATGTTTAAATATGTTAAGTGTGGACATAAATGGACTTTAAGGATAATTGGGACAAGCTGCTCGCCCCACCATGCACAGGTCAAATTTCAGGGGTGCAGGGGCTACTTCCTGGCTCCAAAAACAGCATCCAGAGGTATGAAAACAGTGCAACGCCTTTACATCACCAGGGATGACACTTATTTACTCATCACTGTCTTTGCTAAGATAAACGTCAGACTGTGATGATGCTGACTGACAAGAGGTGATAAAGAAGGATGTGTCACTCGCTTGCCAAGCTAAATATTTTCCATGTTGTTCCTGCTGACTGATTAACCGCTGCACATCTTCAAAGATGAATGAGAACTCCAAACACACTTTCACGCCAACCTCAAATCTAAATGAATGGTAAATTAATGATCATTTATTACAAAACTGCACTCTTGATTCCAACTTGCATTTAAAGATGTTTTGCGGATAAATACTTTTTTTTTTTTTTTGGGTGGGCAAAGAAATGTGTTTTTTATTGAATAATTAAGAATAATGATAGTCATCAGTGGGTTTAACAGCAGGGCACCATATGACACTAAATACGTAAACACATTCAGGCCCAAAGCTTGTTGTTAACAGATGATTTCCCAAAGAGTGGTTTGTTTAGGGGCCTAATGTATCTGAACAACGTCAACAGCTAGTTTCACATGTCAGCGGTGTTGTATATTTAAACCTTTTTACCCTCTTGATTGATGATGTTAGTGAGTGACACACTAGGCTTTAATTTGTGTAGTCTTTATTTAAAATGTCAAAACAGTGAGCTACAAAGACCCATTCCATGTGTGGAAGATTAGTCAGACTGTAGTTCAATTAAAACACACTAAACAACTATATATATA